TGGCCGGGGCAGGGGCTTGGATGGGGTCTCAGTTACCTACATGGAGGCCCTCCTGTCAGCAGCCCTGGCGCCACCTCCCCGGTCCCTCTTCTTTCTTCGTCCTGTTGGGACTCGGGGCGCACACGTGCTTGCCCGGCGTGTTTCCTGCTGGGCTGGGAGTGGGGCCATGGTCAGCCACGTGGGACCTGGCTCCCGCACAGAGCTTACTGCTGTCCTGTGAAGCCAGCCCTGCTGTTAGTTTTGAAGTCTTTTGCCCTTATTAAAGCTTTATGGTAGGGGAAAAAAAGAATGTTAACAGCAAAAAAGCTTGAGAACATGCTAGCAGTGGCATGAGGGTTAAAAGGTCTGGATCCCGTAAGGCCAGACGCGCAGCTGAAGTCCCAGTCCCAGCGGCTCGAAAACATACCGGGAGCGTGTGCTTGCGTGCCTCACATCCCGAGAGCAGAGGTGGGGTGGGGTGGGGGGTGCAGCATGCCACGCCCCCGCAGGGTGCTTGGCCCCTCGATGTACTTTACATGTTTGTTAAAAAAAAAAAAAAGGTTTTTTTACAGATGATTTAGCCTGTATTTCAAATATTTTCATTCAAATAAAGATTAATTTTCCCAAGTTCTGGATAGCTCAACGTTTACTGGGCACTGTGAGTTTCCAGTAGGATTCAGTTACTAAAATTCTTTTATTTAAAAAAAAAAAGAAAGAAAGAAAAAAAGAATGAATGATTTAATTAAATTAATTAATTAATTTAATTTGACCAGAGAGGGACAGAGCAAGAGAGAGAGTGAAAGAAGTTGAGAAAGCAAGCCAGCAGTTTTTGGTATTGCACCGGGGGTGGGCGAGGCGGGAGTCCAGCACCCATAACAACCATACCACTTGCTGGCCCCAGTCACCGAAGTTCTACACATGGATTAAAATCAAGTTTGTATGAGGTTTGGCAGGTGGTGTGGTGGTTAAAGGCACTGGACTCCCACATAGCCAACTGCAGTTCAAGTCTTAGACTTGGTGGCTTGCTTTCTCACTTTCCCTCTCCCTCTCTCCCTCCCTCCCTCCCTCTGATCAAACAATAATAATAACTACAGTTAAAATAATAATTATTTTTTAAAAATCAAGCTTGTACACAGAGACATGCAGGACGTGCTAAAAAGAAATCATTTCTTGGCCAGCAGGTGGCATAGAGGTGAAAGCACTGGATCCTATGGCTGACTGTAGTTCGAACCCAGGGGCGGGAAAACCATGGGGGTGGGGGCAGCAAATGGCAAATGGCGGAGTGGTTACATCGATGAGCTCCCATGTGGCTGACTGCAGTGTGAGTCCCAGGGTGACTTGAAACTCACCCCAGGCCTACCCATGATGCCTAGAGGAGAACGAGAAGGGATTAAGGTGTGGCCATCTCCCCCCTCACCCCACCCTCGCCCCCACCATTTCTCACTTTCTGTTTCACTGTCTCTGTCTCCATCTTTGTCTCTCTCCCCTGCAGTGAGTGCATGCGCCCTAAGGCAAAAGCCTCTCAGAAAGAAAGGAAGGAAGGAAGGAAGGAAAAAAGAAAAAGAAAATCATGCTGGGCACATGTGCACGCGTGCCCATGATCCCAAGAGAACAGAGGAGAAGTGGTTATGGTGTAGCCGTCCATCCTGGGGAACGATTTCTCACTTTCCCTCTCTCTATATCTTTCTCTGGCAAGCACATGTACCCTACGGAAAAAAAGAAAGAAATTTTCAGGACCTGGTCCGAGCCTGGTGGTTAGGGCAACTGGATCCCATGGCGTTGACCACTCGGTCTTGGTTCTGGACCTGACCACTTAGGAGATCATTTCTCAACACAGGACCCTTAACACCTGCAGCTGCTCATGGGAAGGTGGGCCACGCTCGCTCCGATCTGTGTCCTCACCTCCCAGCCCATCCACAGCCCGGCCTGTCTTCCCGCCCCTGCAGGTGAGCACCACAGCGAGGCCTGAGCAGTGCCTCTGCTCCTGAGCCTAGCCCTCCTCTCTGCCTGGGCTCTGCAGCAGGAAATGCTGGGCCATCCACCCATGCCACCCCTGGCCACAGAGATCACCTGCCTCTGCCTGCCGCCTCCCACCCTGCCCTGGAGCTGGAGCTCCTTGGGACTCAGGACTGTTCCTCTCACAACCCACAGGATCTGGCCAAGCACCCTCAGCCGCATGTACACAGCTGCACTCACGCTGCTGCATGCACATGGCTGCATGCTGCTACATGCCCTTGGCTGCCTGCTGCCACCTGCCCTTGGCTGCACACGCGCTGCTGCACACACATGGCTGCTCCACGCACATGGCTGCATGCGGCTACATGCCCTTGGCTGCCTGCTGCCACCTGCCCTTGGCTGCACACGCGCTGCTGCACACACATGGCTGCTCCACGCACATGGCTGCATGCGGCTACATGCCCTTGGCTGCCTGCTGCCACCTGCCCTTGGCTGCACACGCGCTGCTGCACACACATGGCTGCTCCACGCACATGGCTGCATGCGGCTACATGCCCTTGGCTGCCTGCTGCCACCTGCCCTTGGCTGCACACACACTGCTGCACACGCGCTGCTGCACACCTTCAGCTGCATGCATATAGCTGCATGCATGCTGCTCCACGTGCACAGCTCACACACACGACTGCATGCACATGACTGGGTGCACATGGCTGGATGCACTTGGCTGTGTCCATGATTGCCAAAACTCCGCGTCCGGCCTCTCCCTGGGACTGCAGGTGGCTGAGGGCCCCAGCCACCATGTCCAGACCGATGCCTCTTGTCCAACACCCACCCATCCCTGGGTCTCAGGGACGCCCCCACCCCCAGTCCCGCCATGGTGGAACTCCCCGACGCCCAGCCTTCAGCACGCTTACGTTTGCCGTGCACCCTCACACGCGTGCGCGGTGCTTGATCTCCCCCAGCTTTGGCCTCCTTGTCGTATGGGGACAACCATCACATCGACTGCAAGAGTCGTTTGGAGGAGGTATGAGACACGGAGGGGCTCAGCCACGGGGGCCCAGTGGGAGGCCCGGGTTTGATTTCTGGCACACACCTGGAGTTCTCACTGGCTGGGGGACTGGCAGGAGGACCACTATCTGGCCGGACCCTGTTAGAAATGCCCAACTCTCAGGCTTAGCGTTTACATTGCTGGACTCCCACATGGTCAATTGCAATTTGAACCCCAGACCCGATGGCTTCAAAAATCTCGTCAGGCATGTGTGCATGCATGCTCAAGGTCTCAGGAGAACGACAAGGGGTCGCAGCATGGCTGTGTCCGCCGAGGCTGTTTTCTCACTTTCCCTCTCACTGTCTCTTTCTCTGATGAGTGCACACACCCTAAGGCAAAAACCTCTTAAATAAAAAATAGGAGTCAGCTGGTGGCGTGGTGGTTAAGGGCGCTAGACTCCCGTACGGTTGACTGCGGTTTGAATCCGGGACCTGGCAGCTTGCTTTCTTGTTTTGCCTCTCTCTTACTCCGTCCCTCTCTGGTTAAATTAAAATAAATACATAAATAAATAATAAAGTTAAAAAAAATAATTCTTAAAAAATAAAATAAAATAAAATACCCATCTTTCAGTTTCTTGCCCTCACAAAACAAAACAGAGCCGGCCCCGTGGCCTGGTGGTTAAGGGAGCTGGAGTCCATGTGGCCGACTGTGGTTGGAGTCCTGGCCCTGGTGGCTCAAGAAACATGCCAGACTAGTGTGTGCGTGAGCCACAATCCCAACAGGATAGCGAACCGGAGAAGGGCTGTGGCAAGACCAGGCCCCCGGGGGCTCTCTCTGTCTCTACCTCTCTGGTAAGTGCATGCACCCTCGAGCAATTAAAAACAAAAAGGAAAAGACGGCCCAGCCTAGGTGGCACTACCCATAGCAAAGCGAACTGCAGTGCAGGAAGCCACTCGGCAGGCCGAGGGCTCGGATCCCCGGTAGGTTTAGGGATGCACTGGTGGGTGTCCCTGTGCCCAGGGTCCTGAGGAAGGGGTCATGGTATGATGAGCACAACTCAGTCTAAAGTGCTTCTCTCACTTCATGCGCACACGTGATGTGTATCATGAAAAAAATAAACTTTAAACAACAAACACCACGGGACCAGCAGATGGCATGATGGCTACATTGCTGGACGTCCATGTAGTCAACTGCAGTTCGAGCCCCGGACCCAGCAGCTTAAAACTCACACCAGGCGCGTGTGCGTGCGTGCCCAAAGAGAATGGAGGAGAGGGAACCGCAGCATGGCCATCCCCTCTGGGGGGAGATTTCCTGCTTTCTGTAGTCTTTCTGAAGAGCACACGTGACCTATAGCAAGAACCTCTCTTAAGCCTTCCCTCCCTCACAACCAACCATCAACACGGGGCATGTCAGAGCAGGGTGGCAGACAGGAGGCTTGGCTCGGGGACTATCACCATGTGCCACGGTGTCTCCTCTCCTCTCCCTTTGCGTCCAGGCCTCTCCAGGCCAGATGATTTCTGGAATGCGGATCTGGTGGGGCGCTCTCGGCTGAGCCGCCCGGTCATGTCTGCACCCTCTTGGGGCCTGCAGGGCTGGAATGCTGGGCCCGCTTTCTCTTCAGCCTCACTGGCTCACAAAGCAGGCCCCTGGCATTGAGCCCAGGCACACCGCAGCAGCTCGGCGAGTGGCCGCGCCTCAGCACCTTTGCCCAGGCAGTGCCCTTCCTGTGCCGGAACGCCCTGGCCCCGCCCCTGCCCCTCCAGTCTGGGAGCCGCTCTGCACCACCCCATCCGCTCCGGCTGGGTGCTGGCAGCGGTGACGCCCCGCCAGATATCTGGGGTACCAGGCTGATCTCCAGGGGTTTCCCCATCAGTTCAAGAGCTCCTGGAGGGTAGGAACTGTCTGTCTGTCTGCGATGAGCCCGTCGCCAGCACAGAGCAGGGGAGAGGAGCTGAGGGAGAGGGACAAAGAAAACTGAACCAGCACCCCAGGAACACAGGGAGGACCAGGCGGAGAGAGCAGGGCCTGCATGCTACTTCCTGTACCGAGGCCTCCTTTGTGACCTGTAGCTGTGGGCCCCACTAGTCTGAACCCCAGCTGCTCCGACCAGCTAGTGAGGGCGGGTGGGTAAAGTCCCCGTCCACGCCTGCCTCAGCCAAGCCGGGGTAGCTTGGCACCAGCCAAGGTGAGCGCCTGCCCCACGGAAGTCAGCCAACGCCTGAATCCGGGCTCCCCACCCCCACCCTGGATTCGGTTAACGTTCCCCAGTGCACCCGTCTGGTCCCCTTCCCTGCTCTCTGAGGGACTGTTCCTCTGTGAGCTCTGGGTTCGTCACCCCACTCGACCTCCGCCTGGCCTCGGTGCCCGGGCTGGTGCCCCTCCCTTCGGCAGTCACATTTGCTCAGGCGTGGCAGGACACTGGCAGACCCACAGGGGAGGGTGCGGGTTCAGTCCAGAGATCTCCCGGAGTAGGCTGGGCATGCAAAAATATTTGCTTGTGTCAGCAAGGAGTGGGGAGGTTAAGGTGGCCGGATCCCACATGGCCTACTACACGGCTGGAGTCCTGGGCTCGGCAGCATGAAAACACTGCAGCTGCATGTGCATGCATGCCCAAACCCTGAGAAAAATGGAAAAGGGAATGCAGCGGGGAGTTCCCCTTGACGGGTGCTCTCTCCCCCCGTCAAGTGCACGTGCCCTGGAGCAAAACTGAAACCACCAAAATGCTCAAGGAGCCACGCAGTGGTGACGCAGCTGCACCCACATGAGCAAAGTCCTGGGCCTGTGTCCTGGGACCTCTCTGCGTGCTCTGGACTTGCACCTGTGCCCTGGATCTGGGCCAGCCGAGCCCGGGGCTGGATCCCGGCACGAAGACCCTGTTCAGGATGCCTGTTTCTTCCCCTCATGGAAAAATGTTCAAAACTTAAAAATGTGCTCACACATGCTGTCTTCCAGGCAAATCTCCCCACTCCCTATCGTCCTTCCCCTTTCCTCCAACACAGACGGACTTCTCGAGGCTGTCCGCTCTGCCATCGCTCGAGCCTTCCTCCAGCGGCTGTAACCTGGGATCTGGCCCTCCAAGCCTGGGCTTGCTCCGACCTCAGACCTCACTGTGGCGAAAACTGAGGGGCGGGCTCGGTCCCCACCCCTTGAGCCTCGGGGAAGAAGGGGCCCAAGCCCTTTCCCTCTTCAGTCCCGTCCCCCAGCCTCCTGCTCCCTATTCTTAAGTGAGCCTCCTTTTCTCTTTTAAGAACAACTTTTTTTTTAGAGATTTGTGCTATAGGGCATGTGCGCTGGCGGCAGAGACTGGAAGCGAGAAATCATCCCCGGGGGCGGGGGGGGGGGATGGCCATGCTGCAACCTTTTGTCCTCCTGGGATCTTGAGCACGCAGCCTGGGTGCCTGGCGTGAATTTGTAGCTACCGGGGCTGGGACACAGACCACACTGGCCATGGGGGAGTCCAGCGATGTCACCACCATGCCACCTGCTGGTCCCCTCTTTAAAATGTTTGCTACAGGGTGCATGTACTTGCCAGAGACAGGAGAGCGAGCGATAAAGAGCACCCCCAAGGGGGGACGGTCCTGTCACAGTTCCTTCTCCACTGTCCTCTCGGGATCTGGGGCACGTCCACGGATGCACCCACATTCACAGTGCGCCCAGTGTGTTTTTCGAACCTCGGGGCTGGGATTCGAACTGCAAATTGGCCGAGTGGAATCCAGCCACCTAAACCTCCATGCCGTCTCCTGGCCCATCGGCTTCCTCTTCTTGTGACAAGCCCCTTGGCTTGGTGCTGGACCTCCCCTCGTCTGTCGTCCGAGGGTGACTGTATCCCTGCTCATGGCTCTGGTCCAACCCGTCTGTGCACGGTTCTCCAACAGCTCACATAGTGCCTTGTGGCAGTTTCCAAGGCACCTCGAAGCTCAACACGCCCCCTACCCGGGCTCTCCCGTCCTTGCCCAGCAGGGGCCTCCTGCACCCGCCCTGCCAGTCAGGCCTCGGTACAGCGCCTGCCTCTCCTTCCCCTTGAGCAGAACCAGGCTTGGCCAGCCTGACCGCTCACACCCCCTGGGGACCAGCTGCGTCCAACCTGCGGACTCCTCAGACCTCCACCAGAGCAGCTAGTCTGGCCATCTCAGACACATACCTGACGTGTCACCCTGCCGTTCAAAACTGGCCACTGGCTTCCCATGGCTCTCAGTTTGACGAGGCCGAGTCCTGGGCACAGCTGACCTCAAGCCCTGCTGTCTGTCTGTCCTTACCCACCTCCTCGGAGACCTGACCGAGGTGTCCTCTCAGAAAGCTCTCACTCCCTGCCCAGGCCTCCTGATCGCAACTTAAAGGTCACTTCTTCCAGGAAGCCCTCCCTGACCTAGACAAGATCCCTGTGTTGTTTCTTTCACAGCACTTGTCAGTTGGCCATCGTCCGTGTGGGATGATTTGTCTCTCTGACCAGGCACTCCACGGTGTCCGCTGTGCTCACTACGGAACGCCAGGCCTAGCTCACGGCAGGAATCAGAACGGGGCTGCTGGAATGGAGGTGGCCCACCCTAGACAAGGTGGACCGGCCGTGTGCAGAGGATGGACTGGAGGAGGTGGGGCTCGGAGGTGAGGCTGGACTGGGACAGACGGGGTGGGGGGACCACATGGGGAAGGAGGCGAACAGACACAAGGGACACAGACAGAACTGCCTGGGTTCCGGTCCCGCCGCTGGGGAGTGGCCAGAGCGGCCCACGGATAAGAAGCAGCGCCACCTGCCCGCTGGCCCGTGACATGAGCTCTCCCCGCAGAGGGAGCGCAGGCCAGCACCCCGGGCCGCGAGGGGAACTGCTGTGCCGCTCCTCACTCCCACCGTGCTTCTGTGGGCTGGCACAGGACCCCGCTGGAAGGTGTCGGGGCACAGGCCCAGGGCGTCCCCTCCTGCACGGCGTGGCACGTGGCAGGTGGGGAAGGGCAAAGCTGGTCTCGGCTGAGCGCCCTCCACACTTGAGGCCACGCCTGAGGGCAACACCTTCAGAGCCCGGGGCGCTCGTCCTGGCTGCTCTGGGCCCGCCCAGCACACTGCGGCTCGGCTCTCTCCTGAGACCTGCCGTGTCAATGCCCGGGCCTCCGCCACCCAAGCAGTTCCGGCTCCTTGGGGAGACGAGGAACAGGAGCCACGCTGGTTCACGTGAAGGGCTTGCCGAGGTCCGCCCGCCTGGTCAGGCCCCCTGCCCCAGCCAAGGCTCCACCCCCAGCTGAAGGCTGGAGGGACAGCAGGGGGGCAGCCCGAGCTCCTGCAGGACCCTGCGCTTGGGCCTGGGCTGGGCCCTGAGCCTGGCCGGGCAGCCGGGCGGTGGGGAGGGGCAGGCGGGGCGCTCCGCGGGCAGACACAGGACACGCGCTCGTGCAGCTGACACAAAGCAGCGGCTACATCCCCGGCCATGCTCCCCACCCGGCCCCACTCACAGAGACAGGGGGATGGACAAGATGCAACGGGACGACCGGGCAGGACAGGCGGGCTCGGCGGAGGCAGCGCCCCCGGGCAGCGGTGTCCTCACGGCGTGGTTTATTACGATTCCATCTCACAAGGCAGGGGGGCGGCGGCGCACATGGATCCCAGCCCCCGACAGACGGCTGCCTCGGCGCATGCAAACAGTGCAACACGGTCAAGCGCAAACATATGCAGACCGAGGCGACACGGGACACGGGACACGGGACGGGGACGAGGCTGGGCGGTGGGTCCCTAGAGAGGGGCCCGGTCCCTCCCACCCGTGGGCAGGACAGGAAAAATAAGATTCGTACTTCTTGTAAAATGCCCATTTGCTGGGTACTTTCTTTCTCCTTATCTTGAAAAATAATAAAAAATAAACACACGGAAAAAAATCTCAAAAAACAGGAAAGGAATAAAACTCTAAGAAGGCGAGCAGTGGAGGCCGGGGAGAGCCCGTGCAGGGGGCTCCGCCTCACCCGGCAGCCCGCGCCCTTCTCGGCCCTTCGCGGGCTCCCCGAGCCCATGGGGGTCCGAGAGAAGGGGCCAGCCCAGGCAGGGCCCCTGGGGCCAGCGGGGTGCAGGCTGGACAGAGGAGGGGCCCGCGGCCGCGGGCTCAGTTCAGGTTCAGGCCAGCCAGTGGGAGCCCAGGTCCACGCCGCCCGGGCCGCGCCGGTCCCCACAGCTGCAGGCGATGGTCACAGGTGCAGCTCGTGGGTCTTGATGTGCTCGAGCTGCTCACGGAGCTGCAGGAAGGAGGGCCGCGTGGCGGCGTCGAGGTGCCAGCAGTTCTTCATGACGTCGTAGACGGCAGGCGGGCAGCCGTCGGGGGCGTCCATCTTGTAGCCCTTCTCCACCCGCGGGACGACGTCCTTCAGGGGCTGCGGCAGGCGGGCGCCGGTCAGTGCGGGGCCTCGAGCCCCAGCGCTCGCCTGCTGAGCCCAGCCACCCCCAGAGCCCCCCGACTCACAATTCTCGGATAAGGCACTCGCCCGAAGGAGTAGATCTCCCAGAGGAGGATTCCGAAACTCCACACGTCGGACTTGGTGGAGAATTTCTGGCCCGCGCATGGAGAAGCAGTGTCAGAGCTGGAAGCTGGCACCCGGCCTGCCCGCTGCCCGGCCCACCCACCTTCTCTCTCAGGGCCTCCGGGGCCGTCCACTTGACTGGCAGCTTGCCCGTGTCCTGGGTGCTGGACGCCTCCTTGGTGAGGCCGAAGTCGCTGACCTTGGCCACGTTGTCCTCGGACACCAGCACATTGCGGGCGGCCAGGTCCCGGTGCACGAAGTTGTTGCCCTCCAGGTACTCCATGGCCTCACAGACGTCCCTGCCGGTAGCAGACACGGCCCCTCAGACAGGCCCCGCCGCAGAAGGGGTCCCCCAGAGCCCCGGCCCCACCCAGGCTGTCCCACTTACAGTGAGAACTTGAGGAGACAGTCTCCGCCCAGCACCGACCGGCCCCGTGACCGCAGGTAGTCCACCAGGCTGCCCTGGGGTGGGACAGGCCACGCATCAGCCCAGTCGGCCCAGCCTGCCCCGCGGCCCTGCCCAGTGGCCCTCGGGGGATAAAGGTGACCCTGCAGGAGCTGTGCAGGAGCGGGGACAGCCCTGTGGGGCCCCACTGTATGTCCTCTCCATCCCGTGGCCTGTCATCCCCCCCCTTTGTGGCTGAGGGACTATGGCTTGGAGTTGGGACCTGTCCGAGGTCACGGCCGAGGAACCACGCGATGACCCGGGACATAGCTAAGCTGAGCCGAGCTGAGAGCCGGTGACTGCAGAGCAGGGTGTGGGGGTGTGGGAGCAGGGCCCAGGGTGCGAGGGGAGGCTGGGCAGCGGACGGCCGTGTCCAGCCCCGGCCGGCCCCCGGGCAGGCGCCCACCTTGGCCATGTACTCGGTGACGATGTAGAGGCCGCCCTTCTCCTCCACGATCACGCCCAGGAGCTGGACCAGGTTGCTGTGCCGCAGTTGCCTGGGGGAGGGGTGGTCACGGCCTGCCAGCCTCCCCGCCATGCTGCACCCCAGCCGCCATCCCCCCACCGGGCCCAACTCACGTCATGACCGAGGCTTCGGCCAGGAAGGCCTGGGCCGTGGCATCGTTCTTAATGCACTTGACGGCGACTTTGTTCCCTCGGTAATCACCCAGCATCACGTCTGTGGGGAGGCGATCGGTTGCTCCCTGCACCCCACAGCCCTCGGCACCTCACTGCCCCCTCCGCCCCTCCCCACTCACCTCCAAACTCGCCCTTCCCAATGGTCTGCAGCAGCTTCAGCTCCTTGGTGTTCAGCGCCCAGCCGCCTGCGGGGAAGACCGAGTGAGTGCTGCGGGGCTGTGGGTCTTGGCTGGATGACAGAGGCAGGCTGGGAGCGTCCCCAGCCTCTAGGACACAGTAGTGCCAGGAGGCCCAGGAGGAAGGCAGGGCGGGGGGGGGGAGAGGTCCGGGCACTCA